TAGTTAGTTCTCGACCATCCTCAATGCCTGTTTTGGGCCCTCGTCGTCTTGCACAAAGATGTCGGTCTGCAACCAATGAGGGCATAGGCACACCTGCCTCCCTACGAGAGACTATGATCAACCCCCAGGAGCCTCAACATGGGCGACGCGCACGACCATGCAAGACAGCATTGCCGTGCCTGGCCAAGGAGAAACTGCGACGTGACAGTCGTTACGTCTGATATCAAGCTCTTCATGTTGTCGGCATTGTCGTTTCTGGTTTCCTGGCTGCCATGGTTCGGCCATTGGTCATCGAGCAACGCAGTCCTAAGAGTCCAAGCCAGGTGGTGTTCTCTCGGCTGAGGCTTGCAGAATAACACCATACTGACACTAACCAGGGGGAGGAGGGACGACAAGGTCGAATTGACTAAAGCCTGGTGTCGACGCTTTCTACAAATCCACGCACCCTTTCCTTGAGGTAGATGTCGGTAGTCTACTCGTTTTGACGCCTTTGGCGTAAGGTCCCAGTATCTGATTGTCGCCCCACCCTGATGATGATACTGCTAATTGCAGGCCGAAGACTGATATGACAGCCTGGAATCTCTGCAGGGTCAAGAGCTCTCTTGCCGCAGCGCATACGGAATCTGAGTGACGAACGCGATGGGTCTTGCGGTCCCCGTGTGCCCTCTCTACACTCGGTCGAATTTGCGGTGCACTCTGGAGTGAAATCAAATACTCTCGATGCGGCCTCAATCGAATCCGCATGCCCTGTTGGTGGCCAGTCCCTTTCCTGACCACATTTGGAAATGGATGCACCACGTCCACGACACCATTAGATGATGCCGCTCATCAAGAAGGCCAATGTAGAGTGTTGCCCAACCGCGGCGGCCGTGTACTTGTCTATGCTGTGGCCTGTTGTATTTGTCACGTCGGCTCCGGCGCCCTTCTTTTCTTACAGGCTGGATCCCTGTCCGCGTCCACTGACACTTTGTGGGTATGCACATCGGCCACAATTAGCGGAGCTGGCAGAGAGCAGTGAAATTGCAAGCACACAGCTTCATGTCAAGCAGTGAAGAGATCCCGTGTTGTTGATTCCGTTTAGGAAATTGAGCAGATCCACTAGTAGTGACCCGCACTGCCTTAAACATCCCGGCAAGTCGATGGGATGGACGTGGGTTATTATCTGAGCGACCCAACACGTTCCTCCCCCCCCCCTTCCAAAAGTTGTACTCTGCCACCACGGCCCGTACATCTCATTTCTTGGTTCGGGTACAGTCTTTAGACCACCAGGTACTGGTCAAGTACTCCGCCGCCCTCTGCCTGTCCATGCCGTTCCCACCAACTCTCCTGAGAGTCTCCAGAAAGCCCATCGCTATGCAGCCACTCCGGTCGCTCCTTCAACCGCATGACGTACCAAGCCGAAGACGCTAACAACCAACGGCAAAGAAACAGAGTCATCGGCACCTATAGCAGACATCTCTGCCTTCTGTGTATTGCTTCGGTTGAGCTGCTGAGCAGCATGGCATGGACACCAACAGCTCGACTTTGTCTGCTCCACTTCACCACTGCACATACACTGAACAGAGGCTCAAATTCTGCTTCTTCCCATGGTTTGGCGGGCATATAAAGGCATAGGACAGTTCCTCCTGTTCAGATCTTCAAATTGGCCATCACCATCACCATCATCATCTCCATCCTCATTCACACATCACCATCATCCCATAAACAGCACCCGCGTACTATACCGCCGCCTTCGATCTTCGCAACCCTCACGAGTGCGCTGACCTTAGCTGAGCCGATCTAAGCCAAATCTATAAGGTTCTCTGAAGGAAACCATTCACTTTCTTGCCTACCCTTCACAAGATTCTATCTTGTCAGTCTCTGGTTGCCCGACAATTTTACGTGCTCCCCAACACGCCGTCCACGCCGTTGGAGCGTCACAAACTCGAACCGATTCCCAAGGCTATTACTCATCAGTCATAAGCCATCATGTGCCGACTTGAGCGCCACCATTTCCTTTGCGGAAATGTGACCGAGTATCGCTATGCGGTACACACTAGCCTCTGCAGCGGACGCTGCCCTACGAGCCAGTGTGAGATCACCGACATAACCCACAACACTCAGTGCCCGGATCGTTCTCATTGCCCTTGACGGCCACTCTTGCCACAGTAATTCCGACAAGAAACATCCGTTCTTTGTAAGTACGTGCTGTTTCTCTGGTCCTGTCGAATATCTGTTCCGGAGTCAAGTCTGACCGTTAAGTCGATAGCAACCATATCTTACCGGGGGGGGGGCTGATAGACGACGAGCACGACGAGCAATCGTCCATTTCATCTTGATTCGGGTTTCAGAAGCTATTCCGATTTCACGATCGATGTTTGGGTGGATGTGGCGAATCTCCATGTTTCTTCATTCTTACTTCTTTTCTTTTTTCTTCTTCTTCCCTTCTTCCCTTCTTTCTCACTTCCATATCTGGGATTTTTTTGTTTTTCTTGGCAGGATGCAGTGATGAAGGGATTCTGCCGGATGTCTTTGCCTTCGTAACGCATGACAGCATGCTGACTCCACCGCGAGAGGCTTCGTGCGCAAAAAAATCAAGGCGAGGCACTAGATATTGCGACGGATGACTTGCCCTGGACAGCTTTTGAGGATTTTTGAGGATTTTGGCTGAGGACTGATGATATTCCATGACACCGTGCTGCGGCTGCGTTGTTTTGCTATTTGGCGATGGGTCTTCCTAGGTTGTACGGCATGTCGGCACGATAGAGAACACACAAACACACAAACACACACACACACACCAACACCACCACGACGTCTACCTAGATAGTTGCTCAATGCACAACATTTCTTCTCTACACTAAATTTCCATGCTGGGTCAAGTGTCTGATTGCTGCCTTGGGGAGTCATCTCGTCTGTCTAGCACTCACGGAGTGCGCGCCAATCAACTGCCTGGGGCAACATCGTTCAAGACGGTAGGTTTGAGGCTTCTGCTGCCATGCTCAGGGGCTTGGGTGGTGGCTGTGATGACTGGCCAGGTGAGGCTGAAAGGGGACGTTGGACGACCCTGGACGGTTGGACGGTTGGACGGTTGAACGAGTGGACGGCTGGTCAGGGCGGACCAACTGGGTCGCGCTTAGCGACGAATTAGAATCAAGTGAGGGTTGTTTTGTATTGCGCATGGATGTGCGTTTGAAGACTAAACTTTGGACGTCTGCTGCCCTCCAACGAGCGAACGTACTTGGCCTGGTCAGTTGCAGGTCGTATTGTCCGCCTCCCTAAAGCACCTGTCTAGAGGACAATGTATGTTTCAACCCCGTTTATCTGGGTGCAGGTGCACACGACCAGCCTGGGAGGTAGGGAGATGTGTCTAGGCACAGTACATGATGAGCAGAAAAGCCACCACTAATACCAGCTAAGGAGGAAAAGGCAGGGTTTGGTGGGGTGGAGGGGGAGTTGGTGGGATGTAGGCCACCCAAGGCGAGCAGCTACAAAAGTTTTATTGCCGCACTGGGAACGTCGTTTCAAGCAACACCACCACCACGGCCCGCTGGATCTTTCGACGGCATGGCGAGAATTGATGGGCCAACAAGACACTTGCATGCATCATCATGCAGACAGGACCGACACACGAGAGGTCGTGAAGGGCGCAACTGGCTGTGCTCGTGTCAGTAGCACTGCACTGCACTGCACTGCACTACACACGCATCCATCGTCTCACGGGTCCAGCCGTCGTCTGTGGCATGCACGTGGCCAGATTACGATTTGAGAACCTGCCTGTCAAAGCAGAGGCTGTGTAACGGTCGCACAATAAGCTGGTGGTGGCCGTTGGAAGCATTGCATGCAGCCTGTGCCTGTGCCTGTGCCTGTGCTTGTCGAGGATGTGGTGGGCTGGGGTCGTCCGCCTCCTTGCGGTGGCAAGCCTGGGCACGTCGTCTAAAATCTGCCCTTCTTGGACCCCCAGGCCCCCTGTTGGCGTAGGGCTAGTCCAGTGGTCAAGTGGAGTGAGCTTCCCCTGTCCCGGCTGTTGGGCGCTGGTGCACGTCGTAGTGTGGCGCTTCCATACCACAGCAGAGCTACCTAGGTACCTAGGTACTTTTATACGTGGATGCAAGGATGCAAGGATGCAAGGCTTCTCCATCAGGTACGTACATGCACATGCACATGCGAGATGTGGATACATGCCTACTGCAACCTTGTGCCTGCTCCCTACCCCATCTGCTTCTCATCACCATCACCATTGGCCGTCTCCTCCTCCGCTTCAAATCTCTTTCCACCTCAGCCATGACGATGGATGAGAGGTGCCGAGCATTGTGTGTTTTGCTTCTTTGCGTCTCACACTCTCACACTCCATGCTCAGCCATGAGACATGAGCCGATGCTCTCTGCTCCTCGTCGGTCGTCGAAATTGAAGCAATGCAGCCCTCAGGCTCTTGCATGACGCACCCATCATGTGATGATGTGCGCCCCAGAATCTTCCGCACCGAAGGATCTAGCGCACGCAACTCTTGCTGCGCTTGATCGGCCTGCCTTCCTTGCCTAGGCCAAGCGCAGGATGAATGCACAGGGCCCATCCAGAGCCGCATCGCGGTCGACTGTGGGCTGGAAAAAGCCATCCGTCGTCGTTGCCAACAACCAGCCCACAGCGAGACGGACCAACAGCAACAAGCAGAGCAGACTCGCACGCCCTCACAATGGCAAGCGGGCAAAGTGGCCGCAGTGGCACGGCACCTACAAATCACAGACGCGCCGCTCCGCGCCGCTCCGCTCCAACACGTCGCTAAAACAGCATGGGTGGCTTCACCCCTCTGCGGTAAGGCGCTGTCGCGGCCCGCCCTTTGCCTTGTCCGCGGCCCTGCTCTGCCTAGGTACACAGACAGCACTGTCTCACGGCCCGCTACCTAGATAGCCAGCACTGCATGGCAGCATCTTGCTTACGCCTTCGGCAACCTGCCCAAATTTCCTCGAGAGGCGTCTCACCAAAGCCGTTGCTGTCAGACCCAACACCTCGTATGTATGCGCTCAACCTTGTGTTGCGTCGCCGGAGAGACCACGCACAGCAGCAGCCTCGTCCTGCCCGACGCTCAGGCAGGCGGACGGGGGACAGACCATTCCAGCCCATTCCTTTCCTCATGTTCCACCTCTTGTCCCTGTCTGTGTCCTGGCCGTTGCGTCCTCGTCGGCACATACGCAGCCACCATGGCTAGCAAGCAATTGGCTCGGTCTTTGTGAACCTAGGTGCTTGTTGGCGACCGTGGCTGGCTCCGCATTGGGGCCGGCGTGCGGCGTAGTTCCGTTGACCAGGATCAGGGAAACAGACCGAATCTTCTTTCCGAACGCCACTCCATAGTCGACGATATCGCCGGCTATGACTTGACACCAAGGATCAGCCGTGGTACCAGCAGAAATCCCATGTCGTAGGTACATGCTGTGTGGACATGAATAGGCAAGACGAGGATGAGCAACGCTCTGTCGCGATTCCTTCTTAGTCTGGGAAATGAATAGCAGGGTTGCTGGCTCCCCCGCCTTTCCGCCCCCGGGCCGTTCAGCCCTCGTTCTCTAATTTCGCCTGCCACTCAAGGTTCGGTCACCACGTCCAGCATGCGAACACGCCGACTCTGGAGCCCTTTGAAGCCGACTGCCTTGACTAAGCAAGCCAACATCGCGGACCGTGGGAGCACTTGGGCATCAGACCGGCACACAATGAGACGTGGATCCATGTTTACCTTCCTGATGCGGTAACTCTGCTGCTCCGGACTACCCACAACTCACACGTTTGACAGACCGGTATCTACTTGCCGACAACACCAACCTCGGAGACAAATCGCCAAGCGTGCGAGACCCCAGCTTTTCCATCTATGGTCCAATTAGATCTAACCACAATGGCCCTCCGTACTGTCCGATCAAGAAAGCGAGTGTATGCGTACATTACACTCCCGCTGCGCCGCTTGACCTACTCGGTTTCACCGATACCAGCGCTCGATTCGCATGATTATACGACTATCGACCCTTGCCTGTGCCCGTGCCCGCCAATGTGCATCAACCACGAGCACAAGCACGCTCTGGGTATAGACGCAGCTTCGGTATGCCCTACCTGACGCTACAGGTCCTGTCGACGGTCACGCTAGGCACCCAATCTAGCGCAAAGGTATGGCACACTACTGAAATTCAAACAAGCCGATTGCGCTGTGATTTTCACACTTGCCACTTCCCGAGAGTGTTATTCACAAGCTGAAATTCTCTATCCGCTACACGTCGCAGTACACCCATCCTATGCATATGCAATTATGGAAGAAGAAGGGGGGGAAGAGCTGAAGATCTTGGTCAGAGTACGTTTTGCCTCATACAGCCAGGTTGCAGGACCCACAGGCATAACCAACGGCGGCTAAACAAAGATCGCCATGAGAGCCCGATTGGATAGTTTCCTGCCTTGCTGCACTGAATCCCGACAATCGCGCCTAGATCCTCACAGGCGACGTCAACCAAACTTAATGCATGCTGAACGCTCACTAGCGAGGGCGATGCTACCCCAGCAGGGGAGACCTCCCTGGTTCCCTCTGGGCTCACTGTCAGCACTGTGACCTGGCCTCAATATATCGTAAGGATCGCCCTGGACAATGAGTCGTAACCACCACCCACTTGACTCCACCCACCCAGGCAAGAAGCGCGGTGCATGGCAGCATTGCATTGGCGGCTCATTGGATTGGCAGATTGCGCACCCAGAACTCCCTCATCTGACAGGCTACCTGGTTCAAGTCTCTGCAGGCGGCGTGTAAAGGTCTGACGAGGTTGGCAACAGACGCTCTGGATGTGACGGTACATCGCCTCTGAGACGTCAGGTACTTGCTATGGTACATACAATCAACTTCACATCCTGGCATACAGTTCCACATGGGGACCCAAGAGCAACCTGAGGTGCGCAACAGCCATATGTCCATACGTAATTTTGCAAATACCAATCGACAGCCAACAGATCATCACTGTTTCAGTCCTTGCCTCTCGCCATGTAGCATTCAATTCGCTATGAGAGCGAGGCTGCAATTAAAAGGGGACGAGAGCTCGAAACTGCCCACGACCAACAACAACACAGCAATTGAAGAGAAAGCCCTCGGGCATTCGATGAACGTTCTCTTTCGAGATGTGTCAAGGCACTCCTGTGGCGCGGTGCGATCACTATTCCGCGAGCGCAGACTTGTCGGATCATTGGGCGGCTCATCAGATTGGCCTCATCTATGAATGCCCCAGCAGTACCCTAAAAGGTTCACTGTCCCCAACGCTGATATCACGACGGTCCATCATCCCGTGAGCTGTAGGGATTGCCTCGTGCGCTCATAGTAGAGCTCTTCTCGGAGCCTCAGTGGTGGGCTGTTTCACCGACTCAGTGCAGTCACACGATGCATGATTAAATGGAGGTAACTTCGACATCCGTTGGTGACCGACACGAGCCTGACATAGGAAGCAACTAATGTGGTCTCATCACAGGAGTGATTTGTCAAGAATAGGAAGGAGATGAACGGCGTGGATGGCTCCACGGGTCCCGAGAAACTTTGAAAGGATCGTGACCATCACCGTTCTCCGTCATCGCACCTGTTGGTCTGACATGTTGAGAAAATTACCCACGAAGATGGTTCTGAGGTAGGTACTTCCCACCGGGCTATATCACCTAGTAAATTGAGTAGATTACATTTGACGCATTGTCCTTCTTCGTCCCCTATGCACCATAATCACCAACAACCACACCGCCCACCCTCAGCTCCTTGCTCACACCACTTCATTCTGATTTGGACACAGCTTGCCTAGCCTATCTCGACGCTCAACGGCGCGCCGAACCATATCGAAACTAACTCTTTCTATGGCATGACAAGAACGGATGACTCGTGTTCTACACCCTCCTTTCTAGCGGCGTGCCATGGAGTAATTTGCTGTTCGCTTATCCGAAGACAATTCCCCACGTTCCTCCCATCCCTCACGTTGTCATACTTTCAACCGTCCAATAAAGCCGTTGAATCACACATGCAGTCACACGCCTCAGTGACTCATCAAATGTGTGTGCATCGGATCACATCGACACTGATCCTGTCCTGTTCCAGCTCGGCAGCTCGATTCACAAGGTATAGGCTGCAGGCTAACGGCCCAATTCATATCCAAAAAGGCGTGTAGCAAGCCATCTCTGTGGGATGGCAAGCAAACGAGCAGGCACTCCATGGTCCTGCTGCAGTTAAGCGCCCAGTGAGCTTCAGTGGAGCTGTCCACACGTATCCGGACGAAGCCCTGCTGTGGTGATAGTGACAACGTGCCAGGTAGTCATTACGTAGAACTGCATACTGATCAATGACTGTGAGGTCCTCATTTCGTAGAAGTTGGTAATTATCGGTCAATCATGGTCTCCAAGAGAGCCTGGGATTTCAGCTCAGTTTCGCACAGGGCAACTAAGGACCTTCGACCACCTTTAGAGGTGCTCAAACCACGAATTTCTGCTGGGTATCTTCTCTGAAGCTGCACAGTCTATTTCTTTCGGTTTTGCCTCGCTTCCATTGTTGTTCCCTCGACTGGAGAATCTTTGGGAGCTGGTCTGTGAAGCAGATCTTGTTTGGACGAAGGGCCATCGGATAGCTCTAAATAATGAATGGGCCCTCTTTGCTAGACTCCAGGGATATACATGTAACTATCTGCGCAAATATACCTTGCTTTAAGTTCAACATAAAAACACCATCAAGCATCTCATTCACCGCACGTGAGTGCGCATATTGGGCTTCGATTACGCGATCTACCAAAACTAGTTTTATCTTCGTTTTTTATGCTGTTTTTGGCATCTATACCTAGGCTGAAATACTTGATAGTCAGACTTGAAGTGCGTTGAGTCAGCACCAAGACCCGTTGTGTTTGGATTGAACTGCACGATGCTGGATCACGCAAGCTCTGTTTATATACCGCATCTCTTATCCACCTAGTTCGCCCGAATACGTTTATCTAGGGGAGGGGACTAGATCTCCGTCTTACACCTTCTATACGAAATATCCTTGCCTCAATCTTGTTTTCCTCCCTGACTGCCCACGTATCAGAGCCAGACTGTCATTTGGAAATCACCACTTTGTGGGCCTCCTCTAGAGCCCTCACTATATGCCCTAGGCTTCGTTACTTCAGATGTAATTTTCTCTACAAGGATCTTCAATGCCACTCGCCTTAGCCTAGTAGACAAAGAATCTTGACGGCTCTCAATGTCAAAGTCAGCGTACTCAAGTATTATACCCATAATCTCATAATTCTTTCCACGATATGGGCATCACAGACATTGGTGTCATTCGATTTGAACGAGTCGCTCAGCGTGGTGAAATTTGGCCATAACAGTATCACAATGATTTTGCTCCACTAGACTTCTATCACATATCCTGAAATAGCAACAGTCGGTATCCCGAAAAAGCGTTGTGGGTACCCCACAGGTCATTAGTCTTCGGGAAGACGTGAAGCTCGAAAAGATCCATGCGTGTACCTGGTGATCTATAGTACGGAGTCATGACTACTAGCGGAAGAACAATCTTACCGGTATCTTGTAGGAGACTATCTGTATCCAGGAACGCTTGTGCCGGTCTCTATCTAAGTATGGTGGAAGCCAAACAGAGACGAACGGCGACTCAAAGCTTCACAGCAAAGTCACTAACGTAAGAGAAAATCATCATGCTTCTCAATATATTGAATCTATGAATATGCGTATTTGTTTGAAATGAAAAAGATTTTCCATTTTCCGGTTCAGAAAACTGCCAGCCTATGTGACCTTATGGAAGCCCTGTGAGATCGACATTATATAACTTCACCACCCGAATGTGTGAACATAGTACACAGTCGTGTCCCTACTTTTTCATTTGAATCACATATATTGACAGATGAAAATGGAATACTAAAACTCCGAAGTGTTGATCATCTCGGCACGGGCTCTTGAAGATGCTCAGAGCAACTACATGTCTCTTTTCGAGCATTTAGCATGTTCCTCCATCTGGACTTGCAGCTTATCTGGTTGATCTCGCTTTCACTTGTAAGGCACCAGTATCAGCTTGAGACTCACGTGAGGAGCCAATCATGGATTTTGACTTTCAGAGAAAAGCTGGATGGTTGGCGCCCACAAGTCTGTTTCGGAGTTGCAAGGGTGGCAATCGGTTGACGCCTTCGAGTGTAACAATTATGTGGCCCCGACCATGTCATTGCTAGTTCAGCAAGACCACTTTGCCCATGGGTTGATACGCCAGGATAAATTGTCAATCGCCGATTCCCGCTTTCCCCCTTCGCTTCCGATGCTATCGGGGCAGTATTCTGAACATGTGTAGTGCGGTCTGTGAATATGGTCTCCTTCACCGTTAGACTTCGTCCGGTATTTGCCAGTAAGAGGCCATCAACTGTGCCATCAAACCTGCCATGAAATTATGTGGCTTCGTACACTGTAGCCTTACCAGATACATCGAATGTGAACCAGCTTGCTCGATTGCATGTGTGGCACTCTAAGGGCTCATTGTCTTTGTATAGGCAAGCACCAGCGCCCTCGAATGCCCCCAGTGGCATCATTACGATGCGTATGTATTCTGATGAGCCTCACCCACCGCGCTGTGGGTTGCCGATACTGCCCGACCAATCACATCAATGGAGATGCCCATGCAACTGCCGGTGGAATTCGAGAAGCCGACCTGCAGGCGTGGTATTGCTGAAGTACATGGGCACCAAAGGCTGGCTGTCTCTGTAGTCAGAGATGCCATTTCTTGCTGCCTTTCGGCTTGTCCAAAGGGGCAGTCTCGCGGCTCTGAGACAGCAGCTTCCCAAGAATACCTTGGCAGAGGGGCGAGGGACGGAGAGAAACATAGTCCATCGGTTTGAGTGACACAGCCGGCGAGGGAATGACTGAAGTAGCATGGTCTGCAAGCTTCCATAGGCGTGCTATTGCTGGCACGACAGGGAATGGAGCCATCGCTCAACTAGCCCCTGATTACGCCCCAGCCCATCTCAACAGTGACCTCTCCTCCACAGCCTTGCGAATGTTGGCCTCACCGTCTCCGTACCTCCTACTGAGCTCCTCAACATCGACAATTACCCACTGCCTTGTGTCTGGACCGTCATTGCAAGCTGCGTGCTCGTTGCGAAGAGGACACCAGCCAGCCAAAGCCTCGAGGCGGCCCGGGGACTGTATCGGAAAATATGCCCTCAGCCGCGCAAATTCAAGGTCAGGATCGCAGAGCAGTCTCACCAAGATACGCGCCGGCGTCGAATTCCACAGTGTTGCCCGCTTATCTGCGCCCTGCTGCTCCAAGTGGGATACCCGGACATCCAGATGCCTCAGACCGCCAACGAGGATCATGTCCTGTAAACAAGGGACGATAACGTCACTTAACGAGCCGCCAAGGCGTTGTATGTAGATGACCGCGTGCTTCACACGCCTACGGGAGGGGAGATATCGCGCCGCGCTCCCACGACCGGCCAGCCCGTGCCGTCGTGACGATTGATGCTGTGGCGGCGCCAGGACACCCTGCTCGTTCAGCGGGTCGAACAGCACGGACCTGCGTACACCCGCATAAAGATGAAATGTGTTCTCTCCAAAGAACAAGCTTGACGCCTCCCTGTAAAATGTCTGGCTGACAAGGAAGTAATTCACCGGCCAGCCCATGCGACGGCCACTATCGTCGTCCTCTTCGTCGTCATCACTGTCAGAGCCAACGTCATCCTCACCCGACTCCGTATCTCCGTGTCGCCCTGTGATCCTGGGGAAACACTGATGCTCGCCTAAATGGATGCCGGCGGGCTTGACGACAAGGTGGGCGAGGATCTGTTCTCTCAACTCGCCCGGCAGCTCGAAGAAACACTCAAACTTTCGGCTCGCCATTGTGTCATTGTGCTGCGAAGCTCTTTTCGCAAACCGACCGCTTCGTAGCTTGCGACCTCTTTTGTCTGCTACGGCGGCCTGGACTGGTTGGACTGATATGTCTGAGGTCGTTGTTACGTAGACGAAGGTGGCTTGGGATGTCGCAGATGATGAAAGCTAGCGATCTATCTCTGTGGGGTCCGGGGGTATGAAGTTCCCCACTACGTCCGCAGCTAATTCGACTTGGACCACCTAGGCAAGAGCAGTCGAACAGCTCGACTCGCAAGGATCTAGATTTCTGAGCTGCTACTTGAGTACTTAAGAAGAGGACTGAGAGGTACCTAGTCTATCTGATTTCTACCTTGCAAAGGTGGTTTTCCTGGCAGGTCACCTTAAACCACTCAAGAGATCATACTACATAAGGTTATCCTACACAAAGTTATCCCGCACGAAGTCATCTCCCGTAAGGTCATCCTATGTGAGGTTATCCTATGTGAGGTTATCCTATGTGGGGTTATTCTAGGAAAAGCTATCCCAAGTTATATTATCATACGTTAGGTGATGTATTTGCCATGAGGCCATGAGGCTCTACTGCAGAAACCTAGCCGATACAATATGAGTCCCAGGAAGGAAGCATGTCCAAGTCGGTTGATCGGACGATCCGGGCTCTACTGAGCTGCACTGCGTCTTTGAAGTTCTCGTCACATTCACGAGAGAAACCAGGCAGAAAGACTGTGGGATGACCAAGCCATACGGCCGCGAGCATCGCGCGTTTCAAAAAACGAGAAGCTTCCTTGAATATTATTCAGACCAGTATACCATTTTAGTAGCCTTTTCACCCGAGTCTACATGCAATGCCTCCCCAAGGCAACACAACGTTGCCAGAAGCAAGGGCCTTCTCCGACCTCCCAACGCATTGATTGGTTCGTTGCCTTATCTCACCACTCCCTTGCCCTCAGTCTTCCAAGCGAGCGGAGACCACACCAGGTCAAATCAGAAAGTAGACGTGGAAGAGACCCTTTTCAGCTGCCTCGAACCTTGTTTGGATCCCAGATATCGAGCGTCATCAATGAATTTCCACCTCCGTGACATGTCCCAACCTTCCCCTAACTTTTCGTCATGGTATCATGAGATTTCATATAGTCACCAAGATGCTGACACCTTGGAGTAAACTCGTCGCGATGGAAGCGCTTATCGGGAGGACATGGCCTTGGTGACGAGTCTCTTCAGGGCCAGCTCCTTCTTCTTGAGGTCCTCGGCGGTGGACTCCTCGATCTCGAGCTGAGACATGGCCTCGGAGAGGGTCTGCTCGATCTTGTCCTTCTGACCACGCTTCAGCTTGAGGGACAGAGTAGGGTCCGAGACGATCTCCTCGACGCGGGAGATGTACGACTCGAGCTGCTGCTTGGCCTCGAAGCGCTTGCTGAATGCCTCGTCGTTGGTCTTGAACTTCTCGGCCTCGCTGATCATGTTCTCAATCTCGGAGCTGGACAGCTTGCCGACAGAGTTGGAAATCGTAATGTTGGCGCTGCGTCCAGAGGTTTTCTCCGTAGCTGTGACTTTCAGGATACCGTTGACGTCAACCTCGAAGACGACCTCGAGCACAGGCTCGCCAGCCTTCATGGGAGGGATGGGAGCAAGAGTGAACTCTCCAAGAGAAGTGTTGTCCTCGCAGTTGACACGTTCACCCTCTGCTATGTGTTAGTCACGGAGCCTAAAGTGATGCACTCTGGAGCGGAGGTATACTGACGGAAAACGGGGAACTGCACAGTTTGTTGATTGTCTGCTACAGTCGTGAAGGTACGCTGTGATATGTTAGCTGATGATAGATCATGTGTGGTATTGGGGGAAAATCGTAATGACGATTTCTGCTTACTTTCTTGATCGTAGGGACTGTGTTTCCGCGAGGAACGACGGGAGCAAAGACTGTGATGCGTTAGTCACCTGCTACGACGCAGCGGAGAAGGCTTATACTCACTGTTGCCTTCCATCGCGACTCCGAGACTCAGAGGAACGACGTCGAGCAGGAGGAGATCCTCGGTATCGCTGGAAGTTGCCTTGCCAGACAGAATGCCAGCCTGAACGGCGGCGCCATAGGCGACGGCCTCATCGGGGTTGATAGACTTCTCCAGCTTCTTGCCGTCGAAGAAGTCCGAGAGGAGCTTCTGAACCTTGGGGATACGAGTAGAACCACCGACGAGGACGATCTCATCGACAGCGCTCTTCTCAAGAGCAGCGTCCTTGAGAACCTGGGCGACAGGCTCGAGGGTACCGGCGAAAGCCTTGGCGTTCAGGTCCTCGAAACGAGCACGAGTGATCTGCATGTTGAAGTCCTCACCATCGAACAAAGAGTCGATCTCGATGGTAGCCTGGGCACCGCTGGACAGGGTACGCTTGGCACGCTCGCAAGCAGTCCGCAGCCTTCGGAGGGCACGAGCATCGCCGGACAGGTCCTTCTTAGTCTTGCGGTTGAACTCCTTCTTGCAGTGATCAAGGAGGTTGGTGTCGAAGTCCTGACCACCCAAATGGGTGTCTCCAGCAGTAGCCTTGACAGTAAAAACTCCTCCCTGGATGTTGAGGAGGGACACATCAAAGGTACCACCACCAAGATCGTAGATCAGGACATTGCGCTCCTTGTTGGACTTGTTGGAACCGAGACCGTAGGCAATGGCAGCAGCGGTAGGCTCGTTGATGATACGGAGGACGTTCAGACCAGAGATGGAACCGGCATCCTTGGTGGCCTGACGCTGGTTGTCATTGAAGTAGGCAGGGACGGTGATAACGGCCTTCTCGACCTTCTTGCCGAGCTTGACCTCAGCAATCTCCTTCATCTGTTGCCACGCGGGTTTGTTAGTCTTGGAACTGGACGTGTTGGGGCTCTGTACCACGCGGTATGCGTACCTTGACCAGAACCATGGCAGAGATCTCCTGGGGGGAGAACTGCTTGGTCTCACCGAGGTACTCAACCTCGACCTTTGGGTTGCCGTTGTCGTCGACGACCTTGAAGGGCCAAGACTCCTGGTCCTTCTTGACGGTGGGGTCATCGTAGCGGCGACCGATCAATCGCCTGAGCGTCACGGCGAGTCAGTAAGGGCGGTTTCTCTCCAGGTACGGGGAAGGGTAGCCAGGGAGGAATAAGGGTCAGCATACTTGACGTCGAAGACGGTGTTTGTGGGGTTCATGGCAGCCTGGTTCTTGGCGGCCTCACCAATTAACCGCTCCTCGGCCGTGAAGGACACGAAGGAAGGGGTGGTGAAAGAACCCTGCTCGTTGGCGATGATCTCGACATTGCTGCCCTCATAGGTGGCCACGCAAGAGTAGGTGGTACCTGTCGTTGGTTCAAAGTCAGCGGCTTGCGGAAGGACTTGTTGCGCGGCGCCGTCGTCTCGCCCAATTGACCAGGACAAGTGCGCGGCGATGGGGGGATTGTCGGGAACGTACCCAGATCAATGCCAATGGCACCGTCGTAGACTTCTTCCGCCATTTTGGATGAGAAGTAAGTAAGATGTCGGAAAGGAAGTAGGAAGGTGAGGTTTGGGATGGACAACGGCAGAAATCGAGGCAAGTTTTCAGAGGGCGGGAGAATGGGTTTTGAACCGATCGAAAACGTGGGGCTGGCTTCGAAAGAGAGTGCGCAGGAAATTTTGAAAATTTTCAACCAGGTGCACGAGCCAAGGGTCGTTCGCTCGCTCTCTTCCAGTCACTCCAATGGCCCAGTCCCAATCCACTTGTCCACATGTGCTTATCTTATCGGTCAGCGAAAGAGTTACATGGGTGGCACTGGCCGCCGCCCTGCCCGCCCCTCCTCTCTCAGGTGTGGATGAATAGTCAGTCTACCTAACAATACGTGCCTAAGGTACCTAGGTACACAAGAGGTGTCAATATGCCTGGATGAGTACTGTCTAGATAGCCTTCCAAGCCGCACAGTCTGCCCTACAACCAGCTCTCGGCTGACAGGCCCTCGATTTTGGCCCAAAGTAGCTTGTTTTATTATTACACATATTTAATCAGCTGCTACTCTTTTTCGTCAGAGGATCAGTCCATCCAGCCAAAATAAGGGTGAGTAAGTAACCATCCTACTGCTCAGCTCCTTTACACGGCAGCACTCGTCTCGAGTGGTCCTAACTGCCCCCCCCCCCACGCCCAAGCTCTGCCTCGTAATGGTTTGAGGGCGAAATAAGTGTCTACCAGTGTGTCAATTGCAGAGAAATATCCCCTTCTTAAAAAATGAGGGCCCTTGATCCCTCGCATCGTGCTGCGCTCCAACAACCATGGTGTTGGTTGCTCCCATCCGGGTAACGCGCTGCCGTGCAGCGCGGTGCTTCAGAAGCCCAAGACTCGCACAGCAAAAGAGCAAAGTTCTTAGTACTGCTTCACAACATTCGCAAGGATAGTGACCTTCTCGAGCACTGCGTCGGAGCCGTTGGGCAGCTTCTGGCCTTTCGGCAGCGCGGCAATCATCTGTAACACAATGGTGTTGACACCTTGATGGAGCTGTGCATCATACAGGAGCTCTCCGTTCTGGATCGTGTCGCGTGGAGTTGGAACACCGCGGGCGAGAGTCTGTCCATTGACGACCACATACAGCTTGTAAGGGCGTTGCTGTTGCTCGAGGACCGGCGAGACGCGGGGCACGATTTGGAGCTTCCACTGGTTGGCCGCGAGGTTGACCGTGAAAGACTGTTGTAGTAGTTTCGGATGGGGGGGCACATTAAAAACGAACCGCTTCTCCGCGTTGTTGTCCAATGGCGTGCGTAAGCATAAGTTCGCCAAGACAGCCTCCGCCAGACCTGGGATGGTGTTAGAGAGGGGTCATTGTGTCTTGTGATGGGCTCTAGACTTACCTGCTCCCGCACATCGGAACATGGAGTCGTATAGTGCAGCCGGTTGTTGTAGTTGTAGTTGTTGCTGTTGTTGTTGTTGTTGTTGTCCGGGCGCGAGTCCATTTGGTGAGCCGTGCTGAGGCGCAGGCTGGCCAAGGCCGTTGACCGGGGGCAGCATGACAGGCCTGAAAGCACTTGAGCTGTAGCCGTTGTTCATCGGGGGCGGAACAGACGGAGATGCTCTGTTGGAGTCCTCGCGCTTCATCACCGCAGATGGTGTACCTGGCCCAGCAGCTTGGGCAAGGTTCGCTGCTACCGGGTTAACGGGAGCCGGCCGTGCGGCAGCTCCATTGACAGCTCCATCGCCAGCCCCCTGGGCAGGAGTAGGGTGAGACGCCTGTGGCGCCGGGGAGCCTTGGGAGCCCTCCCTGCCCCCGCCGACATGAATAGTGATCCGTTTGGGTCGCCCCGATTGAGTCTGTGGCGCCTGTGCTGACGGCGCCCTCAAGATGATCTTAGGCTGAGGCGGTTCCTCCACGCATGCCTTGGCCTCATTGAGCTGTTCATAGAAGGCGTCCTGAGGAATGTTAGATCCGACGGCGGGTTCCAGATACTGACTATGAGATTCTGGCTTACTTTCAGCTCTTTTGCCAACTCGAATATTTCACTGCCCTCCTCGTTGTAGTAGAATGCGTTGCTCCAAAGCAGGCTCGCCTTTTCTTCTAAAGCAGCCCAACTCTTGAACTCGCTAACCCCTGTTGCTCCGGCTCTGCCAACCATGCCTTTGATGGCCCGCCATAGTTTCTTCAAGGACATTGGCTCATCGATGAGTTGGTAGTAGTCTTTCAATGATTTAGGGGGTAGGTTTATAAAGGGCTCAAAGTATGGCCATTCATCACTAGTCTGTTAGTCACTTATTGCTTCAATTGTTCGAAAAACATGGACATACTCTTCTTCCTGACGTGTGGACAACTCGTCCACTAGCTTCTCCTGCGCCTGCTGGAAGTTCAGACCTTGGTAGGGCACCTCTGAGAACTGTGCCCCACCCTTGTTGTCGCTTGCCGATCGTGCGTCGGGCGTGTCTTCAGTCTCATTTGAGCGTCCACCACGTCTCTTGAGCACTATTCGAGTATTTGATCCCCGGCTGACGTCTGCGTCGCCCTCGGCGGCGTCGCCATCGTCAGCTTCGCCCTCGGCATCTGCATCGGGCATTTCCTCGTCTTCGCCCTCGGCATCCTCATCGCCCGTGGGCTGCTGGGTTCGCGTTGGCTGCGGGGGTCGAGAGGCCATGTCCCTGGCAGCCAGTTCGGAAGGCATGTCTTCTGCTGCAATCTCTGCATCAACGTCCCAGTCTGGAGGCGGTGGTGCTGGGGTCGCGGCGTAATTTGGGATTTTCTTGTATGCCGGGTTCGTTTTGACCATGTAATTGCTAGTGGCTTTTCTCACGCGTTCGGCGTCCTCGTATGTCTGGGAGCCACGAGAGTAGAATTCCTTTGCATTGTTGACCATGCGCTTCATCCAGCTTTCCAACTGTGTCATGTCCGCCAGCTCGTACCGGTGCAGTCGGCGCTCGATCACCCTTAGCGACACTGGCATGTGGATCCTCCTGTAGTAATCCTCATTGCCCTCTCTGGGCAACAGCTTCTCGAAGTATCCTGCGACTCCTCGACCACTATTATAAGACCAAAATGTCAGAAACAAATCGAACAGCGCAAGATCAGGGCGCGTATGTCACTGGGTTGCCATAGCGAGTCATGATGGCGGTATACCGCGCGCAATACCATGGTCGCAGCGCACGCAGCGCAGCACATGCGCAGGCATAGGATCTTGACGTACTGTTTGTCAGCCGTCTTTCGTATTGCCTCGAGGAAAGCTAGGCCGTAGGCAGTGGTAGACTCGGGGGATTCCTGCTTTGTCAGGTCTGGAAAGTCCTGTTGCAGGTGTCAACGCAGTTAGCCGTGCACGTCTGTGTGGTGTCTTGAGCCTGGTTCTGGTGCGAAAGGGTCGCGACGTGAATCTTGGGCGTCGCGTGGAAGAGTGGCAGGGAAAATGCGACTGCTCTACCGAAGGGACGGCCCCGGGGCATGGAGAAGATGGGAGCTGGCTGAAGGGAGCTGAGGTCAAATGCGTGCACCACCCTCAAAAGCTCGCGCGCAAGATTGAGGCGCACTCCAAGCTGATGGACTTCGCCAACCTTGAAGGGCGAGGCAGACCACCAAGAACAATATCAATTGTCGCTACACACCAAGGGCAAGGGCCAGGGCAAGGGCAGACTCACCGAAGGTAACTTGCGCCTCTTCGCTGCGGGTTCACTACCCTCGGCACCTCCTCCTCCTCGGCCAGCAGCGCTCGCTTTGCGCTTGTTCTCCATGACAGGAGGGTGCAAAGATGTCGGCAGATATCAGCGCGGTATTGGAATGTCCTCTGTTGGAGATTGATGGATTGCAGGGCCAAAACCCGCCGAAATAGAGTATTCCTTATGGTGTTGGCAGAAGGGCTCCTGTCGCGCCGCGCTGTTGAGAATCCTAGACTGCAGCGTAGTGCAGTGCAGTGCAGGCGCGGCAGACTCCAGACTGTCCTGCTGGTTGCCTGCCCAAGTAGACGCGACGGCACGTCTTTTGCACAGGGGTTGGGGGGGGGGGGTGTTGTGGTCGTTGAAGGACGGGTCCCGCTGTGATGGAGGTCGCAACCCTTGCGCGTAGTCTGCGAACTCCAATGCAAGCCACCAACTTCAATGGGGATTCTGCAGGACACCAGATGATCGTGTCTTTTCATAACAAAGTGACTCGGGTTTTGGGTGTTTCTTAAGCCGAGAAAACTGCACGACTAGCTTCTCCTCGCCTCCTGGAGCTGCAAGGGAGCTCCAAGGGTCAGGTGATCCGGTACAATCCAACCGGGAACGCTTGGACCAGTCCTCTCAGCAGTGACTGGGTGTCTGGGTACCTGCTGCAGAATCTACTGTGGTTCCTTCGTCCTTGAATCAATATCTAGGTACCTAGGTGTGCCCACTGAGGTACCGCAGCACTGTACTGCTCTATCCGTACTGTCCGCCCTGCCCTGCACCCTGCACCGTGGGCTAGGGGAGGTCCATTTACGCTAACTAACAGTGCAGTCGATTGCGTGTAACGATTTGCCCTCCCTCTCCCCCTCCGCGGGCTAGACTAGATGGTTTACATACATAATAATAGCACCCGGGAGTAAACAAAAGCGTCATCTCCTTCCCTACCCTTTTCGCCTGCGTCCCCCCTCCCCCCGCGCCAAGCACCCCCCTACGTCTTGTTGCGCTCGCGACTGCTGCGACAATCCCTCCTTTCGAGCCTCAACCACCAGGACTCGCTCTCATTCACAGCTCCCGGCACAATGTCATCTGGCTACGAGATGGGCATCGACACGTCGCGTCGCAATGTCAAGCCGCGCCCATTAACAGACAATGAGCGAGCGCGCCTGGAAGAGTTTCTTGAGTCGATTCATTACTCCTCTCGGTCAGTCGCGCCACCAGATCGCTTTCGACGCATGCTCCCTGTTCTCCCAGCTGACAACGCCCTCGTCCATCAGATACTCGGATAGCGAATTCGAATACCGACACGTGCAGCTGCCGAAGGCCATGCTGAAGGCTATACCCAAGGAGTACCACGATTCCTCAAAGGGAACACTGAAGCTGCTCTGGGAGGACGAGTGGCGGTCAATGGGCATCACCCAGGTATGGAACGCGTCAAAACGCGCCCGCCACACGAAACTGTGGAGACGCGACCGAGGAACAGACTCGGAGAGCGCATGTTGGTTGCTAATGCGTTCTTTGCAGAGTCTCGGCTGGGAACATTATGAAGTACACGAACCCGAGCCGCACATCCTGCTCTTCAAGTACGTTGTGCATTGGACCCCTCCCCTTCACGCCCCTTCGCCACCGGTCCTGGCGGTCCTGGCGGTCCTGGCGCGGGCACGCGATCAGCTAACCTGTGCAACAGGCGGCCACTCAACTACCAACCACCTGCGCAATGAAGGCAGCATGACCACAATGGCTGCAATGCTACGACAACATGTGTATCTTATCTCGCATTCCACAACTGCATAGCGATGGCCTGGCTCGGGATTCACGCCCTGATGACTGCACTCTACTCTTTTACCGGTAGTCACGGACATTTTGAACACCAACAACATAACATCACAACATCAACATCAGTCCTCCGCCCACCCGGCCTTCCGCGTCTGGTAGGGCGTTCTATCATCCGCAGCTCTGGATTCTCTCTCGGCTAGGCGTTTTCCTGGCAAGGTGTACAGTGTGATGGTTTCTGCTTTAAAGGTTTGGGATCTCGCCTGGGAGGGTTTCGGTCCTTTGTCTGTCTACCTTGAGGACCAGCCACTCGGAGCGGCAAAGCAGGAAAAGGGGCGGCGCATTTGGCCATGGTCTGGTGTGATCCATGTGATCACAGGAGGGGTTGCTTCGACACCCCTGAGAAGGCCAAGGATCATTAGTCAACTACCGCAGGTAGATAATGGGAAAAGCAGGTTCTTGAAGGCATTGCAGTGTGCATATTCCGGGGTGAGGGCTTGATGCGCAGTGGCTGTTGCTCGAAAGAGGCACCAGAAAGCGCCAGAAGCAGACGCCTTTCCATACCAACGACGGATGCCAATGGTGGGTGGTCTGGTGGTCTGGATGCGTCTGAGGTTCTAGAAGCGTGTGTCTCAGTGTCCTACCTAAGGTATCTACAGCATGATACATGTAGGTACCAACATCCAGTAGTGAGACATTCTTCACCCGAGGCTGCCGCGCAGCCAGTGGCTCTTCAGCAGCTGGCTATTGGTGTAAAGGCTCCGGTCCCAGCTACAGGTTACGGGCTCATGTACCCAGTTGCGTGGACGAGGCACCCTTGAATCTGCCTGCAAGTGTCAATCGATCAACACGAGATGCCCAACTGAGAACATAGAGGTCTCACACGTGGCATATCTCTCCTCTGACGGCAGACGAACTCAGGGGAAAGCTGCCACAGATTGCCTACACGAACATTTGCATGTGGGTACGAGGGTACATGGAGCACACCCACCTGCAACCTAAATAGAGTGGCGGACCGTCGATTGCTAGCGTCAGAGCCTGCGCCGTGCGCCAGGGGCCGGGCGAGTCCGCATGGGCATTGGAAGTCTTGGCCCTGTGAATCTGACAACTGCAGGACGACATCATCCGACTTTGCAATATGGACACATTTCCATTTCATCCGGGACGATGTGATTATTAAAACAGTCACGCACCGCCCACTTGAATTGTCTTTGTTCTACTTGCTGGAGAGGTCCCCGTTTGATTTTCGCCCATCCTAGCACACCGCCGTGTCCCTCTTGAGGAGTCAAGCACGCTCTTTGTCACTTATCTTTCATTCATTGACGTATTCCGAGACGGTCTTACAACCACCTGCACGCCGCGACGCACTAGAGCAACACCCAGCAGAGATTGTGGATTATACCATATTCGCTTGGGACACACAACAGGACAGCTTTTTGGACGTCACCCTCGAAAGTCAACAGCGAGAGACCCGCGACCTTTTCATGGCCCGTGGCCCATGGCCCATAACCCGTAGCCCGTAGCCCACCCGACCTGTGGCAACCCGAAACGAAACACGAAACGAACGACCTCGGCGTCATCCGACCCGTGCCCAACTTTAAGAACATCCGAAGCCATCATGAGAGCTGCAAGACCCTTCTACCTTTTCCTCTTTGCCTTATGGGGCCCGGATGCTCACTGTCAGAGCCCAAGGCAAGATGACTGCGCAGTATGCTTCTCTACTATTACTACTCTCAGCCAGCTGGCTGGCGACAGCAGCGTCTCCTACGTATAGATTAATAATCTCTAATGCGTCTCGACCGTACCAGATATCACCCAAGACCATCGTCTCCGATGCCTGCGCTTCTTATTCTACCCTCGAGGACCTGAACCGTAAGGTCAGACCAGCCGTCGAGGACCTCACTCACACTACCGACTTCTTCTCACACTACCGCCTGAACCTCTTCCATAAGACATGCCCGTTCTGGAACGACGAGGATGGCATGTGCGGCAACATTGCCTGTGCAGTACAAACGCTTGATAACGAGGAGGACATACCCGAAGTATGGCGAGCCCACGAGCTCGGAAAGCTGGAAGGTCCACTGGCGAAACACCCGGGCAGGACGGTGCAGCGGGAGCGCCCGGAGCGACCTCTGCAAGGTAAACTTGGCGAGGATGTCGGGGAAAGCTGCGTGGTCGAGTACGACGATGAGTGTGACGAGCGCGACTATTGTGTTCCCGAGGACGAATCGGCCACTTCCAAAGGCGATTACGTCTCACTGCTCCAGAATCCTGAGAGGTTCACCGGCTACGCGGGTATGGGTGCGCAACAAGTCTGGAACGCCATCTACCGAGAGAACTGCTTTCAGAAGAGCTCATTCCCTCACACTGCGGCTCTGGGCCAGTCTTCGCCAGCCCACGGCCCAGCTGCGTTGGATTTCAAGCAGGTCATAGAGGCCGCCGGCCGCCAGCAGCTGCTACAGGAGCACCGCGAGCAGAGCCCCAATACGCCCTTCGTCGCGAATACTGGTCTTGAAGCGGAGGACGAGTGCGTCGAGAAGCGAGTCTTCTACAGGGTTGTGTCTGGCATGCACACCAGCATCAGCACGCACCTCTGCTGGGATTGGATGAACCAGACCACAGGCCAATGGCAGCCCAATCTGCAATGTTACTTGCATCGTCTGCACAAGTTCCCCGAGCGCATTAGCAACCTGTACTTCAACTATGCCCTGCTCACTCGCGCGATCGCCAAGCTAGGCCCTCATCTCCAGGACTACACCTTCTGCACGGGCGACACAGACCAAGACGCCGCGACGAAAGCCAAGGTACTCGCCGTGACGCAAGCCTCATCCTCAGTCCCAGAGATCTTTGATGAGAGCCTGATGTTCAAGAACGGGGAGGGCCCGTCTCTCAAGGAGGACTTCAAGAACCGGTTTCGCAACGTCAGCCGGCTGATGGACTGCGTCGGGTGCGACAAGTGCCGGCTCTGGGGCAAGCTACAGACAGCGGGTTACGGCACGGCCTTGAAGGTCCTCTTTGAGTTCGACAACGACAGCGAGGACATCCCGATTCTTAAGCGGACGGAGCTGGTGGCACTGTTCAACACGTACGCGCGACTGACCTCGAGTCTGGATTCAATACAGAAGTTCAGGGTGATGGCTGCGGAGCTGGAAAAGGAAGAGGTTTCTGAGAGAGAGGTCGACGGGACGAAGCCTATCATACCGGATCGGGTGAGGAAGCCGCGTCATGTGATCGTTGAGCCGGCCGAAGAGAAAGAAGCCCAGTCCTCCGCGTTTGGCACATTGCTCCATCAGGAGCTGGGCAATGTTAACAGGGCGCTGAAGTCGGTCTTCAGGAGCTGGACGGAGCTACCTGGATTGATGTGAGTGACTGGCCTCTCCTAACCAAGGTCAAGCGTTCGTGCTAACTCTCAAGCAGCTGGCTCTTCTTGAAACAGGAGACCCGTTACCTCTGGCAGAATTACGTTGGCCTCCCGGTCACACCACGGCACTGGAAGCTTGCTTGGAGGAAGGCGGATGGGCCTGTGATGGACTGGCGGGATGCAGACGAGCTGTAGGGACAGGGGGAAGACTTAGCAGAACAATTCAAGTATACAATCACCTAGCAGGACAATACCCAGTAGCAGCACCAGCACCAGCACCAGCACCAGCAGCGGAGTGTGTGCGAAATTGAATGCCCAGTATCTATGTGCGAGACGAGCAGCAGGAGCGCAGGCAAGCGGCCTGCCCAATGCGAGTCACGCTTTGAGAAGGGGACGCCGGTACAGAACGGGCCAACATGCCTCTGCGACCGGTAGCGTGCGACTGTAAGAAGTCCGCGAGTGTCCGCACGGGGAGCATGATGGACTATTTCAGATATCAAACAGCCCCTTCCCACTTCCACTGCCGGTCCTACCGCCGGCTTCTGGCAGTGCGATATTAGTGACCACGTTCCCAATCTTGACCTTGACCCCCTCAACAGGAATGCTAATGCGCGAATGGATGGCGTCACGAAACTCTGGCCGCGCAAAGACCTCAGCCGTCTTCTGCCTCAACTCAGCCGTCGGCTGGGAAAAGGACCAGGCAAGCGAGACGTGGAAGGCGTCGCTGGCGTGGCCGTTGCTGTCATCGCCGGGCCGCCCGGATAATGCGTAGAGCTCCGGCTGGCCGTGCGATGCTACGAGGTGGTTGCAGACGCGCAGCAGCGCCGACAGCTCGTCGTTGTCGCCGCGGGGCCCGCGCACGCGCAGGACAAGGAAGGAGCGCTCCGACTCCGGGCTGCGGTGCCAGGCCAGGTCGTCACAGGCCAGAGCGAAGGTGGGTACGTGGCACCGGGCGGTGTCCCGGATGAGAAGGTCCAGGAAGGCATCCTTGTCGTGGGTGCGCAGGACAAAAGGGCGGGACAGGCTCACGTGCAGGGGTAAGGGGGCGCCCAGGTCCGAGGTCAGGAAGCCGACCAGGCCATGGCCGATGAGAAGGTGTTGGAGGTCCCGTGTGAGGGCGACGAGGAGCGAGTGGAGGAGCTGGTGCTGGGAGGATGTGGGGTGCCACTCGAGATAGATGTGGCTGGGCCAGTTGCCGTCCTTGTGAGGGATGATGCGCCTCCTGCCCTGGTGCAAGCTGGGCAGGTCTGCGGTCGCGGTGCGCACAGTAGAGGCGTAGAGGTTGTGGAAAGAAGACGGCAAGGGCGGCAAGGGACTCGAGGCGGGCTGGGGACTGAGCTGGTGCCCGAGCTGACGCCTGGCTGTAAGTGGTGTTGATGTTGACTCGGGTATGCTGGTTGGCGAGTGTCGACGGCAGCCCTGGTGGTTCTGTCCAGGGGCAGGATCAGAATCAGACTCAGAATCAGACTCAGAACCCGGATCGGAGGATGAGTAGTCGACCAAGGCCATTACAATCCACGACCACGATCACAACGGCTGCATGGTGTTGATGTGCTATGCTAGGCTGTGCTGGAATTGGGTCCGTCCGGGACATGGGACGAAGTGAGTCCACCTGGGGGGCATGGCGTGCATGGGCAGGCTGGCAGGCTGGCAGGTAGGGGTGAGCCCTGTCAGTGGGGCCAGCTCAGCAGCAAAGCACGCAGGGCAATCACAGTAATGCAGGTGTCGATGCCGATCCCCACAGTAGCGCGCCAACTGCCCTACCTCGACCGACTGACAGTCCCGGGCCACATGGGAAAACCACAACGGGAAGCATGACGTCGGGCTCGTACTCGAAGTGCTGTTACTGTACAGCACGGAATGCTCGGTGTCGCTGGGACCACACGGCTGCTGACTGTCGCTCGTATTTGGCTCGAATATCCAGTGTAGCACATTACAGCACATGTGTGTTCGTTCACCCGCCCACGTACCCAGGCACGCCAGATGGCCAGGTACTGTGTATGCACACAGCATCCTGGGCCATCTGGGAACAGCAGACTCGGGAATTAAGGTTGAATGGAACCGGGATGAGCACATCTGCCCCAGCTGCTGCGGTGGCTACCTGCCGTGCTGCCGTACCTGGGTGTCTACGTGTAAGTTGTACCCTAGGTGGGGAGGCCATTCGCTATCTGCTGTAGATACGGTTCACACTGGTTGCGGGATACGTCACTCACTGCCTCACAGCCCAATTATTACGCAATGCCCGCTCTCCTCCTCCTCATGTTCCCAGCTTTCCCAGCTTTCCCAGCTTTCCCAGCTCGCATACCGGAGCATCCAGGATATGTGGACACAGCAGATAGTCTAGCAGCTTACATGGTACCGCGGGAACAGTCAGTCAGACCACTACATATATCGCGTCGTCCGTCCAGCCGCCGTCCAGCCGAACCCATGCGTATCTAGTCCTGTTCATCCCGTCCTGCACAAACCATACCATACCATACCACGCCACGCCACAACACACCACATATAGACACGCACGTGCAGACACACACATATACACGTACACACTGCCACCTCCACATAGACTTCGTCTTCCCATCCCATCTTGCCAACACTTGGAAGTAACTGCTGCTGCTTCCCTCTCCAATCCCACCAGCGAAACTCCAACTGTCTGTGTGACAGGCCTCTCCGCTTGACCATCCATCCCCATCTTCTTCCACACGCCCACCATCACAATGTCCCTGCTAGAGCCTCCGCCATCCTACGACAGCAGCCTGCGTCGCACAAAATCAGATCGCGCCCATCGCCGCCCAAAACCAAAGAAGTACGTCGCAGACACCATCGACAAGCTCGACGTCACTTCCTTTGGCGGACCCTACCACCACGGCGGCCCCTACGATGCCACCTTGAAATCCTTCAACCTGAACTCCAAGTTCTCACCGGTTGCCGCAGTTAGGGAAGGCAACAAAGCAGCATGGAAAGCAACGCCCCGCGAGGCAAAGCTCGATGCACTTCTGAAGGGCCGGCCGCTCGACGGCATCGCCAGCGTACCCCCCGGCGAACGTGCCCTTAACGGCGAACTCATGGATTACGAGTATAGTACCGATATGCTCAGGGATCCTCACGCCGGCGGCGGGGCTTATAAACAGTGGCCTGGAGTAGTAAGCCTCTTTCGTTTTTGCTTCTTACCATTGTCTTTCTTTTCGTCCGCCCTGCCCACACACCCAGTCCCAGCAATCTGATGATGTCCACCATATCGTACTGCGTGCTGATGCGAATCGTAGAAATACCACCCCGACGACCTCAAGGGAAAGGGAGAGCCCGGCTTTTCCATGGACAGAGAACGACGGGCCAAGGAGGGAGTCGCACGGTCCCAGTCTGTTCGCGAGAGACGGGGCGAGTATGAGATGGTCCCCCAGCGGCCTCGCGGTGACAGCGACGGAAGCAAGGACCCCGGGTCGCCCGCCATCTTGGTCCGGCAGCGAAGTAGCAGCGCTGCTGCTAGCTCGAGTCGCCCAAAGGACTTCGTCGATGGCCTGAAGCGACGGGTCGGCAGCTTGCGCCGACACAGGTAATCGCCCATTATGTTCCAAGTGTATATTATTCTGGTCCCACTCGCCGTCCTCTGGAGGGTGGAGTGTTCGGTGGCAGCAGTGGGCGTTGGGGTGTCAAATGTACATGAGAATGTAAATCGTCAACAAGATCGAACGAACCCATCCACCCATTCATGACTTCAAGCAGGACTCGTTTGGCCCGTCTCTCGGTTTATTCTTCTTGCGCCACACATGAACTGGGGCCCATGTGAGGTCATTTCCTAGCCTGGGAGTTGGAACTGTATTGATGTATTCTGCTCTTCGAAGCCCAGTCTGGCTCAAACAATGATGGCTCCTGAATCGAATATAAATTACGGCGCGGCATGTGTATAATGGACGCCCTCGCTACCATTAGCGATGTGATATTGACAACAACGTTGGGAAAGCTCTAGTTAAAGAGACGAAAGATGCTGTATGTGTGCGTGAAGCCACCGTAGTAACAAGCTGTGGCGCTGGCAGTCTCATGTTGATCATTCAAGGCCGAACCATTGTGAGACCATCTTCCTTCTCAGCCCACAAAAACACGCGGCTCGTTCGGACATCGATTTTTCTCGCCAGGACAACTCCCGTGAAGACAAATTGCACATGGAACATGTTCCTAGGACGGGATACTTCGTGGGGATCACGCTCCCACGAATAAACATGTGGGCCTCAGCCGAAGCCGAGGCTAATTGACGGCCGACGTCATCTCATGCCTCAACTTCCTCCGACTACATAATCGTCTCCAGAAATGCAAAGCGTGAGTGTGAACGGAATCAGAAACGAGCGGCTTTCGGCCCACTGAGACCCTGTCTGAGACCAGGCGTTGGCCCCCGAGTGACGATATATATATCTGGTGCGAAGCAGTGTTCTTGAACAGCCACCCGCATCGCCCAAAAGGCCTGCTGACCTGCCCAGCCTCGTTCTACGAATCCCACAACAATCGTGTAACAACGCATCAAGTGTATACTCACACCCTGGTGCACGGGAGAGGATGGCGGAATCGGAGAAAGAGTTGTGGTGAGCTTTCACTTCTCCCCAGGCCAGGGTACGAACTCCGCCTGTCGAACACCTCATATGACTGACCTGCGCCTCTTCGCCCAGGTCCAAACTCCCCCTCGTTGCCGATGTCCTAAAGCACCCAGCATTCCCAACGGCAACATGGCATCTGGAACCCACGCGATCTGGCTTACTACCTGTGGCAGAAGGTCGCGGCGGACCTCTGAAGATCTCATGGGCAGTTCACGGCCGCGGGCCCGTGAAGATGGTTGTATGTGTATCTCCGCTCAGCTCATCTCGTCTTCCCCATGTCCCCTCACGACAAGAGTCTTGCCCTGATTACCATGAGCCTTGTCAGAATTCTGAATCGATTTTTATCTAGTTCTTGATGGGTTTGGGCTCGTTTCAATCAGCCTGGCAGCGCCAAACTCTCCACTTTGGTCATGAGCACGCCGAGAAGTATTCGGTCCTCACTATCGACAACCGCGGCATGGGTGGCTCAGATAAGCCGCTAATGCGCTACTCAACCAGCGAAATGGCCAAGGACGCTGTCGAAGTCCTCGAGCACATCGGCTGGTTGCCGTCCCATGTCCTCTCCCCTCAGTCACAACTCCCCGAGTCCACACCGGAGCGGGCACTGCACGTTCTAGGGATTTCAATGGGTGGGATGATCGCCCAAGAGTTGGCGTACCTTGTGCCCGAGTATATCAGCACCCTGAACCTGCTGTGCACAGCTGCAGCCATCGAAAACACAACCACATTCTGGGAGAACATGATGCAGCGTGCCCAGATGCTGATACCAAAGAGTTTGGAGGCAAGTGTCAGGAGTGGCGCAGCAAACATGTTTCCACTTCCCTATCTTACCGGCAAGGACGATATACACCTACCAGACCCCAAGTTGACAATCAAGGTCCACCCCCCGGGCGGCAAGGGTGGTGAGGGCGAGTATCTGCACTTCAACACAAACTACGAGAGGTTCGTAGCAGGTGAGATGCATAAGCGCCTCGATGCTAGGGGATTCACTACAAAAGGCTTCTTGCTCCAGCTCATAGCCGCGGGGTGGCATCACAAGAGCAAGGAGCAACTGAAGGAGATGGCCGACAAGATCGGACGCGATCGGATCCTTGTACTCCACGGGGAGGCGGACAGGATGATCTCTGTACCCCATGGAAGGCGCTTGCTCGAACATCTGGGTGGGACCGAAGGACCCGGGCTGATGGGAATCATCAGACCGGATATGGGGCATGTGCCTCCACTGGAACGTACCGCCTGGTTTCATGAGCTTATAGAGGAGAGGATACGGAAGGGAGAGCAGCTGGATGGGAGACCGGCGCCATGAATTGGGTTCAGGTCAAAGGTCAATCAATTGGTCTCCAGTCGATAAATCATGAGAAAGCACATAGGCGTCGTCGCATGTGCACTAGTTAGGCAACGATGCTAGATTTGATTGATATTTATTGGGACCTCATGCTAAAGCTCTGTGTAAGCAGAGGCGAGGCTCGAAACCGCCGTTTCTGTTTGGTTTCGTACTCTAGAGCATCACGAAACCGACACCGCTGAGGTTGTCCTCATCTGCCCTATTCTGACTATCAATACCGCCGGTAATGGGTTTCGCGCGGTAGTTGAAAAGGTAGTAATGCAGTTGTCCATCGCCTGGGCCGAACTTCTGCTGCTCGAGGAATAATGTGTTATCCATGAGGGACAACGCGTTGAAGACATCAAACTTGGCCCTCTTGGCGAGGATCAAGGCATCGTGAACAAGCTCGTTCAGACGCTCTTTCGTGGCAGGCTTGTTGAATGGCGTGGTAAGGCCGACCTCGGTGCCATAGTAGAAGAGGTAAGCGACACGGACCACCTTGTGGCGAGGGTTGTTGATGACGGTGGACTCGAGGTTGTAGAAAGAGAAGAAGTCCGTGATTTTGTGGTCCTCGTCCTGCAAATAAAATCAGCAACGGAAGCAAACCGGGGGTAGTCAGGACCTTGGTCTTGTCTGTATATGTGTCCGTGGGGTTTTGTGTGTGGATGTCTCACCTCAACAACATATGACCAAACAACCTGCTCGTCACCCTCGCCCCTTGGCTGCAGAAGCCAGTGCGCGACTTCGGCCTCGTCCCACTCTGGGGCCATATCAAAGCGATCAACATACTTCTTCATTAGCTTATGCACCGCTGGGACATCCTTTTCTGTCATCTCCCGCAAGCCCTTGGTGGCAGTCTTCTCGGGCAACGTGTACTTGCGAATCTGCCACTCGGGCTTGCTGTTTGGTGGGAGCGGGCTGAAGCCAATGTCGTACAGCTTCTTCCAGTCCAGCGCCCGGTGGTAGTACCGACAGGTACTAACAGGCTTGGGAAGCACGATGCCCGCCGTGTAGACGCCTTGCCAAATCTCCTGCAGGTTAGAGCGGCGCGTGACCTCCTTGATGAGGATGGGCGTGAGGCGCTTGTTGCGGAGCTTCTTGTGCACGCAGAGGAAGTTGACTTCGGAGGTGCGGATGATGTTGTCACGCACACGTAGGTTGACCGGGACGGCGGAGATGAAGGCGACAAGAGGTTTCTTGCTGGGCAGTCGGCAGTCACGGATGCCGACGTGCCATTCTGCGGACCAGCCCGGGGACATGAGGGCCCTACGGTTGAATGGAAGCGATCAGCGCTACTGCTCGAATGCTCATGTTCTTTCGCAGCGGCAATTTGGTCACAGCTTACCATTTGAGGATCGCGGTTCCGTAGTTGAAGCGGAACATAGATTCGTCGTCCTCGACATAGTGGCCATTGAGCAACTGGTAGACCTCCTTGATCTCGTCTTCGTTGGTCAGGTCCATGGTGACCCACTCGAAACCCTCGATACCAAGCTTGGGGGCCTCCTTGGGGACGTCCTCGACAGTCTGAACTTTGAGAGGCCCTTCCCTGAAGTCCTTAGGCATCTCCTCGTCGAAGCGGGGCACAGGTTGTGTTTTCCAAAACTTGTAGCTGGCCATATCCTTCGCATTCTTCCCGCTCAAGGCCAGGCCGGTCATAACCTCGTTGAGAGAGAGCTTCTTGAAAGCCTCGGCAGCCTTGGCAGGATCGCCGTTGTAGTCCTTGAGGAGCGCCGGGTTCCGCGAGATCAGGTCCTGGAGGTCGTGCTGGGGGAGCTTGTCGAGCACGGATTTGACCTGGGCCATCTGGTCTTCTGGCTTTCCAGACAAGGCAGCCTTGACCTTCTTCCTCTTTGATTTCTTCTTTTTCTTTCCTGATGAGCCTGCGACACCCTTCTCCTGGGCAGCATCGACTTCCTCGTCCTCCTGGTCGTCGTCGTTGTCGTCGTCGTCGGGGACGTCGGCGACTCCCTCGTCATCATCAGCAACAGCTGGCTGCTTGCCCTTGTCCAGCTCCGCCTCCTTCTCTTGTGCTGTTGCTTGGGCTGCGCCCGCCTCCTTGGACTCTGCGCCCGACATGTTGCCCCGTTGTCTTGTGGCACGGGTGCACCTGTTGTTTGGGGTGGGGGGCTGTCAGAAGCTGCGGGGTGGAAGATTTGAGGCTACTCCAGATGTGGTGAGGCTGGCCAAGCAACCACAACAAGCAGTCCAAGGAGGGGTTCCAGGGGGTTGTGGCCGGTCGGGACAGGCCACTGACTGTTGGCTGACCGGGCTGACCCCACCTGGAGGCTGCCACATTTCCTGCTGTCGACAACCCCAGCCCGCTGCAATGCATTTTCCAGACAAGTTCGCCCACCCACAGACTAGCAGCTGTCTACTGTACTGTATAGTCCCCCGCCTTGATTGCCAAACGTGCTTGAGATCCAATTATCTACATTATCACAACTGACTTTCTTCTACCTTTGATTGCAACGGGAGTTCAATGATTTGCGATTTTTTGTGCCCCTCTATACATGTTACAATAATTCAATTTACACTCGGTCAACAAATTTTCAGCAACACTACGCGTGCGAGGACCGCACATTACAGGCCAACCTTTGAACCCTGGAAGTTGATACGAAGCGAGTGGCATCGGAGGTTACTCGAGTAGCTTAGCTGGCTCCTTCATACTCACTGTACTGCACGTACAAGGTCTAGATCGTAGGCAGCCGCAGCTCCGCCTCGCCACGGTCACTACCCAAGTGGAAAAAGAAGGCTCCTCCTTTCCCTCTCACCTCACTTTCTCCCTTTCTACCTTGTCTCCATCTCTGTGTCTCCCCCCTCTTTCACTCTCTCCCGTCCAGGCCTTTCAGCTGTCAAAGGACCTTCAAGATTCTCCTTCAGCATACATACGTGGCATACACGAGGACGAGTGATGGGAAAGCCTACTCTGTCAAGCGCGCCGCTCGATGGCGATGGCGATGCCGTGTCTTTGCACACTCAGGCAGGCGACCGCTATCGTGACGCAGATACACCGGATCTGTTTCCCGCCGACCAAAGCCATCACAACCATGACCTTCCACCAATGTACGACGAAGCAGCCGAGGCAAGCACAAGCGCCAGTCTGAATGCCCCTTTACTTTCGGACGCTGCTCTGCCCGGGTATTCTTCATCGTCCGACCTGCAGCCATTCTTCCGCGATGACCAGGCTGCATACTACTTATCGGCTGAGCTCGATGCTGATCCAGAGCTCCTGGAGGCACGCGTCCGCCAATGGGCTGCTATCCCTCCCCGCCCCTTCGTGCGTGTCTACGGTTACCACCGCGAGCGACGTAGCGGCCGCGACGGGAAGAAGGAGACCAAGAACATTACCGATTTTGACGTCAAGGTCGAGCTGACGCCCTATCTCTTTGCTGACGCAACAAGTCGCCATGCGTGGTCTGAGCTGCATACTGTGGAGAATGGCGACAAAGCTAAGCGTGGTTCTATATTCTCACGTCGCGCGCCCAAATCAAAGGGCAACATCGAGCTCGGGGCGGTTGACAAGCCGAATCTGACGCAGTGGTGCCACCTGTATGTCGCCTCGCATTCGGGGCTCAAGTCATTTGCGCTGAGGCGAAGGGTGGAGGGTTTCGATCAGGTTCGTGTCAGGGAGCAGCTTGAGGCTCTGGTGCGGAGGATGAACTACAGAGGACACCTCCAGGTTTCGTTCCCCATGCAGGATCACATTGTCGAGGTTTGGAACGAATGCCGGACAAACCAGTGGAGGCTGACCAGGTGGATCTACGTCATGTTCTGTGTTAGTATGCTATGGTTGCTGTCGTGGCCCTATCTGTTCTTGCGGACCAAGAGATTCGAGACTGTCAGCTCGGAGTGGCATTTTTCCCGGATAGACTCCGAAGGCCGGAAGAGATATGTTTCGCTCACTGAGGATCAGTGGTACAATATGTGGGGGAGACCTATCGCAAAGGCGGTCCTCTCAAAAAGGCAGGGCGTTCTAGATCAGCAGGACTTGATTGCGGCGGACGATATAGACCCTGCGTTCAACACTGGCCATGTGACGGTCGACGGCGCCTTGGGGTTCTTCAGGGCCGGTGTCAACGCAATGAACGAGGTCAACCGGCACCTGGGTTGGGGCGAGGACCAATTTTAGAGCAAACGTGGTATAACAAGCGCTAATCAGGGATTGATTCTTACAAAGACACCGCCCCTCGTAATTTTATTTCTTCTCATTTTCGATATTGTTAAAGTATCTCGGTATTGAAAGACTAAGTGACAGACAGGTTTGCGTCTGTACCGACATGACAACTACACATTACTTGTTGGCAAATTTGAGGTTGAAGGCGAAAAAGAGAGCCGCTCGATATAGTTTGAATGAGCCAGATGGAAGATTGAGGACGAGTGTATAATCGGAGTGGTTCACTCCATGCTTTCGATCTTGTTGGTAGGTAGTGAACCAACATCGACTTGATGGTTTACCCAACAATTAGATCGACCCACCGCGCCTTTCCAATCAACGTCCAGGCTCGTGTGCGCAGGCTTAGTGTTCGTCTAAGTTCAACACCAATGCAATTTCATAAGTACTCTTAATTATTTGCTCCAGTACCAAACACCCTTTGCCACCCAGTCTGCCCTATAATTCAATATTAGCTGGAGATGATATTCCTCAAGCTTCTCCTTCAATATCTCAAGTGGCAGTAAATGTGCGCCTAACTTTTTCAACTATGGGTATCATTCTAACACCAATGTTAGATTTGTTGTGAACATGCTAGTACATTGGTTGATTTGGTATAAGTTGTGCTGCGAGATAGCTTGCTGTGGAACAACCTGCTGTGGGATAACCTGCTGTGGGATAACCTACTGTCAGATAACGTCTTATATGATAAGTCGCTGTAGGTTAATGTATCATAGGACAGTTGATTATAAAAAGCTTTGTTCTAAAACAACCTATTATAAGATGACTTAGGTGGGATAATCAAACCTACTATGGACAAAGAGGAATGTTGGTCAGCCAGCCAGCCAGCTCAGGGTTGCGGCATGACAATCAGCCTGTTGAGCATGACAGGCACTTGGGCTAACCGACGGTCCATTTCCAGCATCTCTATTATCGTAACTAAAAGACTGCTTCACGGTTTGGGTAGCACAATAATCGATTTGCCTGTAAAATCCGCCTGCGTTAATAGACTGTTAGCAAAAGCCACAATATACTCAAAACGTAAAACTACCCATGTAATAATGTTGCAGAGTATATAGATCTTAATGAATTTTTAAAATGGGTCTTTCGTTAATAACTGCTTCGGTGGCACCAGGAGGTTCACTTCGAATAGACACATTTCATTTCTGCCGTTCGCAGGGGCTTTCACTCTAAGTCCTTGCCCTGTTTTGAGACGGGCGATACTCCTGACCCTGAAAGACGGCCAACACGGTAAACGCAAGTCAGAACACCATCTTGGATTAATGCAGTCTCGAACCTCCAAAGTCGTGAGGAGGCAGGAGCCCGGGGGTGGGGTTACATTCTCCGGTTGGTTCATGCATCCCCAGCTTGCGCTACGCTTGGGGTGGAGAAGGTCGCTCGGCGACATCTCGGCTGAATGAAGGGCAAAGCAACGACGTCGCCAGGCCAGGGACACGGTTATGAGCACAGAGACTCTGTGCGGAAATAAGAAGAGACTTCTAATGGCGCTTGTCCTGTTGTGGTCGTAGTCCCCGGGCCAAAATGCGGGTATATACCACAGGCGGTACCTAGTCTAATTTACACTTGCACTGCTTGTCCTATGCTGGAACCGGTCGGCGGGGAAAGTTGTTCACTTCCAAGTGCCGGCCAGGAGACCCGTAAAAGATGGGGTCGATGGGTCGATGGTGGAAACTCGACTCGGAAAGTCGATCGTCATGTTAGCACCCTTGCGGGCTTGCGTATAAGATGAAGGCTTCAGCGCCTTGTGTCTGGTCTGGAGCGGCCTCCTCCCGTCCACCTCAGTTGGTCAAGCTGTTAAGGCCCCCATGCAAACCAACATGAGGCCGCTAATACCCCTAGCAGGCAGCGTATGCGCCCTCTTTTGGCAAGGTATGGGTGCAGCAGCAGCAGCGACGCCATGCTCTGTCGACGCTCTCCAGGCTGCCCTGCCTTCGGACGCGAGCATTCTCGTGGCCCAGCCAGTGGCCAGTGGCGGCACGTTTGGCGAAGGGTCGGCAGACATTCCGTATCCTACGAACCCTACCGACCTACCAGAGACTTGTGCCGTTATTGTCAACGTGACTACATCGCCGTCATCGAGTTTCCGCTTCAGCATATTCTTGCCGACGCAGTGGAATAAGCGGTTCCTGCAAGTCGGCAATGGAGGCTTTGCGGGCGGCATTAACTTTTTGGACATGGGAGCCGGCGTGCGGTATGGCTTCGCCGTGGCGTCCACAGACACTGGACACAACTCCAGCACTTCGGACCTGACCTGGGCACTGCGCGAGCCCGAGAAGCGGCTGGACTTTGGCTATCGCGCGATCCATGGTTCCGTAGTACTTGGGAAGGCAATTACGGAGGCTTTTTACGGCCAGGAGATTGCGTATTCATACTACTCTGGGGCCTCGACGGGCGGCAGGCAGGGCCTACGAGAAGCTCAGTACGACCCCGAGTCTTTCGACGGCCTGTTGATCGGGGCACCCGCGTGGTGGACCAGCCACCTGCAGCCTTGGACAACCAAGGTGGGATCTTACAATCTCCCCACGGATGCAGCTGCACACATCCCGCCCTCACTCTTCACGGCGATCGGCGCCGAGGTGATCCAGCAGTGCGATTCTCTGGATGGGGTCAAGGACGGCATCGTCAGCTCGCCAGAGCTATGTGAATTCAACACGGACGCCCTGCTGTGCGGGTCCGCCGGGACGAATGCCTCAGCGTGCCTGACGGCAGCTCAGCTGGCCACCCTGAACAGCGTCTATGCCGATTACTACGCCGAGGGACGGTTTGCTTTCCCGGGCCTTGAGGTCGGCTCGGAGGCGCAATGGGGTGTCTTGCTCGGAGGCTCTTCGCCCAGCTCACTAGGCGACGGATATATGCAGAACTTTGTGCTGGACGATCCTAGCTGGACGTGGAGGCAGTACGACGATGGCCTCGTGTGGCAGGCAGATGCTCAAGACCCGGGAAACTGCACAGCCGACCACTACGAGGCTATGAGGGCAGTAATGGAGAGAGGCAGCAAAATCATCCTCTTCCATGGATCTTCAGACGCGTTGATCTCAACGAGGTCCTCCAACGTGTTGTACAGTCGCGTGGCAGAAGCCCTGGGGGGCTTTGACCAGCTACACAGCTGGTTCCGGTTCTTTTTAGTGCCCGGGCTACAGCACGTGGTGGGAACGCCGGCGTAAGTGTAACCCTTCTCCCGCTACAATTACCTATCTGTCTTTTATTAGTACATTTCAATGCATCGCTTCAGGTTACGCAGCAGCTGACCAACGCCAGGGATGTAAATGCGCCGTGGTATTTTGCCGGGCCAAACTCACAGGCTAGTCTCGGTACCAACATCTACTCAACACCTGGATTCCCAGACCCCGAACACGATGCTCTCCTAGCCCTGATGAGATGGGTCGAGGATGGTGTAGCTGTGGACCACATTATTGCTACGACGTGGCACAACTCGACAGATCCAGCCTCGGGTGTCTTCAGGCAGCGCCCTCTGTGTCCTTTCCCTCAGAAGGCTGCCTATGACGGCAAGGGAGATGTGGACGACGCAGGGAGCTGGAGCTGCTCCGGGTGAGGGAGTGGGTAATAGAAAGCCATTGACTAATTACAAATACATAAACATGCTCATATGTATATCCCAACTTAAGCTCAGGTATCCGCTTCGCAGCCTTGAATTCTACATGATAATCGACTAAAAGAGGGGTATAAGATCATTATCCATAGGACAGCCAGCTTTAGAACAATCGCCTATAACATAACTTCTTGCAGGACAACCTCTCCTGGAATAACCTCTCTTGAGATAACTTCTCTTGGATAACCTCTCTCAGGATATCGGAACAACCTCTCCTGGGATAACCTCTCTTGAGATAACTTCTCTTGGATAACCTCTCCTGGGATAACCTCTCCTGGGATAACCTCTCCTGGGATAACCTCTCCTGGGATAACCTCTCCTGGGATAACCTCTCCTGGG